TCCACTCTGGCCGGAGTTTTTAGAAAGACTTGTTTTCAGAGGAAAAATCTCCGTTTGCGTGTAAACGAAGGGCACAAACGAAGGAAGATGTCTCCATTTATCAAAATCACCATGTACGTGTAAACGGCCTCTCAGTGTGTCTTGTTTTCTCTCAGTGCCAATTTGTATGGCGCTCCAGCCTTTGTTTCCCTGTGTCCTTTTCTTGATTTGTTTTTTGGGATGTAGCCTGTTGAGTAACTGATGAGTCTGCCTCATCCTTTTTAGATTTGTTTGCCTCGGCTGATTGTCTGTCTGTGTACCGTACCTACATTTTGACCAGAAAAGACTGTGTTATTTCACCTGCACTGTCTCCAGAGTCGTGTGTTTGAGTCCACTCTCACCTGGGTCACCACTTGTTCGCCTCTCATTCCCTCTGTGTTGATGGTGGCGAGTTGAGGCCACCAGATCCAAAATGTTCGTACATATATACACTTGATCTTTATAATTTACACTAATGCAGAAGTGACAGCCAGCCTGAGTGAATCACTGAATTTTAACTCAACCTGTGATATCATGTCTACATCGAAAGTATTGTTTGTGAGACTAATTGTCCAATCCGCAGACACAGGAGGGAAGCTGCTGTTCACATTTATCCGCTTTTACATGCAGGTCTTTGTAATATCCCCACCGCTGCGTCGAGAAAACATTTGTTCTTCTCGTCAGTTCAGCTGAAACAAAAACACTTTGATGCATCACAGAAAGATTCAAACCTAGAAGATTAAAAAGACAACAGACGTGTTGAACTGGATTCTTTTCAGACTGAAAACAAAAAGTTGCAAACAACAATGAAATTGACTGTCAGCAGTGACTGGATGATGGACGGTGGGGATTCATAACTCAGAGCAAGTTAATTTATGCAGTCTCGACCTGACCATGTGATGAAACACAATAAAAGAAGAGATTAAAGATATAAGAAAGAAAATGTGAACTGGACTCTTTCATCCTGGAACAAACTGAAAAAACTGGAATGACGATACAGGTAGAAACAGTTTAATTTGAGTAACCTCTGACTTCTACTTTCAGACATTTAGCCGAGGCTTTTACTTCGGCTGATGTGGCAGAGAGCGTGATAAAATCAGAGACAATGGATGGAACACTAACATGAGTAATAGATGTGATGACACTAAAAATATAAGAGCTGAGGAGCCAAACTGAACTCTCTCTCGCTATCACAATAACAAGACATTTAGACCTATTTTAGTTCTGTTGCGTCACACTGAAGAAATAGAGACACGTTGGATGACACATGCACATTCAAGTCTGTGTTTTCAAGACAGCAAAGACTCCTGCAGAAAAGATACGATATTATATTATTATAAATGTGTAAATCAAATATTTGGAGTCTATAAATCTGCCTCAGGGCACACTAGGAATTAAAGAGAAGCTTTCTTTTGCAAATCTTATCATATTGTGCTCATTTTAAAACATCTACAGGTGCTATAAATTATAAGCGTTACTGATTTTATCTGAACTGTAGCTGATAAAAGTTAG